TGTCACTCTGAGATTATAATTTTGCACTTGATGTATGGACATATACTTATTTATCTAGTATTATTATTGCACTTTTTGAGTTGACGGATTATCAATGTCTATAAATTGATATATTAGTATCATTAATTTGTATATTATTTATTGGTGTTTGCTCTCACTGTATATTTTTGTTGTGGAGTTGTATGGTGTATGATTTTTGATTGGACACTTGATTTGTGGTTTATTTATATGCTCACATTGCCCTATGGGAGGCTCTTTGCTCTTCCCTAGGTTTATTTTCCTTTCATTGACCGATATAAAGCTTGGCTCGTTTGTCTTTTCTTTGGTTTGTTATTTCTGGAACAGAGCTGCTGCTACTTCTTATATACCTCCCATTGCTGGGTGGCGCGAAGTCCTTCTTAGTTTTCGTTCTTCACCTCTGCACTCCGATGGCTGCTTATTTACCTATGAAATGAAGGCGATGTACAGAGGCACTTCGCTGATTGGCACATTGCTCTGCTTACATTTGAAATGAAGCCTAGCCATTCGCCGCCTCCGGATGACAGCATTGCTCATGCGCAGCACGGATCCCTGGCTGGACTTGCGAACTTGTGTTGGTAGTGAGCTGTACCGAGCCGCCGCAGAGGATCGTCCAGAACAGAGCGGACATCGGAACCCATCGCAAGAACTGTCACTTACAGGTGAGCAATGTGTACCAGAGAACTGACTGAGCATCGATAGCCGTCCAACATGTCACATGGTGCTATCACGTGCCCCATCTGTGCCCGATACCAAAGACCTTCTATACCGCCTGGTACACCTTCCACCCAGCACTCTCCTGCCTTACCTTCCACCCTCTACTTCTCTCCTGCCTTACCTTCCACACTGTACTTCTCTCCTGCTTCCTTCATCTTCCACTCTGTACTTCTTCCCTGCCTCCCTCATCGTCTTCCCTGCCATACCTTCCACTCTGTACTTCTTCCCTGTTATTCCTTCCACCCTGTACTTCTTCCATGCCTCCCTCACCTTCCACCCTGTACTTCTCTCCTGCCTCCTTCACCTTCCATCCTGTACTTCTCTCCTGCCTCCCTCCCCTTCCACCCTGTACTTCTTCCCTGGCTCCTTCACCTTCCATCCTGTACTTCTCTCCTGCCTCCCTCCCCTTCCACCCTGTACTTCTTCCCTGGCTCCTTCACCTTCCATCCTGTACTTCTCTCCTGCCTCCCTCCCCTTCCACCCTGTACTTCTTCCCTGGCTCCTTCACCTTCCATCCTGTACTTCTCTCCTGCCTCCCTCCCCTTCCACCCTGTACTTCTTCCCTGGCTCCTTCACCTTCCATCCTGTACTTCTCTCCTGCCTCCCTCCCCTTCCACCCTGTACTTCTTCCCTGGCTCCTTCACCTTCCATCCTGTACTTCTCTCCTGCCTCCCTCCCCTTCCACCCTGTACTTCTTCCCTGGCTCCTTCACCTTCCATCCTGTACTTCTCTCCTGCCTCCCTCCCCTTCCACCCTGTACTTCTTCCCTGGCTCCTTCACCTTCCATCCTGTACTTCTCTCCTGCCTCCCTCCCCTTCCACCCTGTACTTCTTCCCTGGCTCCTTCACCTTCCATCCTGTACTTCTCTCCTGCCTCCCTCCCCTTCCACCCTGTACTTCTTCCCTGGCTCCTTCACCTTCCATCCTGTACTTCTCTCCTGCCTCCCTCCCCTTCCACCCTGTACTTCTTCCCTGGCTCCTTCACCTTCCATCCTGTACTTCTCTCCTGCCTCCCTCCCCTTCCACCCTGTACTTCTTCCCTGGCTCCTTCACCTTCCATCCTGTACTTCTCTCCTGCCTCCCTCCCCTTCCACCCTGTACTTCTTCCCTGGCTCCTTCACCTTCCATCCTGTACTTCTCTCCTGCCTCCCTCCCCTTCCACCCTGTACTTCTTCCCTGGCTCCTTCACCTTCCATCCTGTACTTCTCTCCTGCCTCCCTCCCCTTCCACCCTGTACTTCTTCCCTGGCTCCTTCACCTTCCATCCTGTACTTCTCTCCTGCCTCCCTCCCCTTCCACCCTGTACTTCTTCCCTGGCTCCTTCACCTTCCATCCTGTACTTCTCTCCTGCCTCCCTCCCCTTCCACCCTGTACTTCTTCCCTGGCTCCTTCACCTTCCATCCTGTACTTCTCTCCTGCCTCCCTCCCCTTCCACCCTGTACTTCTTCCCTGGCTCCTTCACCTTCCATCCTGTACTTCTCTCCTGCCTCCCTCCCCTTCCACCCTGTACTTCTTCCCTGGCTCCTTCACCTTCCATCCTGTACTTCTCTCCTGCCTCCCTCCCCTTCCACCCTGTACTTCTTCCCTGGCTCCTTCACCTTCCATCCTGTACTTCTCTCCTGCCTCCCTCCCCTTCCACCCTGTACTTCTTCCCTGGCTCCTTCACCTTCCATCCTGTACTTCTCTCCTGCCTCCCTCCCCTTCCACCCTGTACTTCTTCCCTGGCTCCTTCACCTTCCATCCTGTACTTCTCTCCTGCCTCCCTCCCCTTCCACCCTGTACTTCTTCCCTGGCTCCTTCACCTTCCATCCTGTACTTCTCTCCTGCCTCCCTCCCCTTCCACCCTGTACTTCTTCCCTGGCTCCTTCACCTTCCATCCTGTACTTCTCTCCTGCCTCCCTCCCCTTCCACCCTGTACTTCTTCCCTGGCTCCTTCACCTTCCATCCTGTACTTCTCTCCTGCCTCCCTCCCCTTCCACCCTGTACTTCTTCCCTGGCTCCTTCACCTTCCATCCTGTACTTCTCTCCTGCCTCCCTCCCCTTCCACCCTGTACTTCTTCCCTGGCTCCTTCACCTTCCATCCTGTACTTCTCTCCTGCCTCCCTCCCCTTCCACCCTGTACTTCTTCCCTGGCTCCTTCACCTTCCATCCTGTACTTCTCTCCTGCCTCCCTCCCCTTCCACCCTGTACTTCTTCCCTGGCTCCTTCACCTTCCATCCTGTACTTCTCTCCTGCCTCCCTCCCCTTCCACCCTGTACTTCTTCCCTGGCTCCTTCACCTTCCATCCTGTACTTCTCTCCTGCCTCCCTCCCCTTCCACCCTGTACTTCTTCCCTGGCTCCTTCACCTTCCATCCTGTACTTCTCTCCTGCCTCCCTCCCCTTCCACCCTGTACTTCTTCCCTGGCTCCTTCACCTTCCATCCTGTACTTCTCTCCTGCCTCCCTCCCCTTCCACCCTGTACTTCTTCCCTGGCTCCTTCACCTTCCATCCTGTACTTCTCTCCTGCCTCCCTCCCCTTCCACCCTGTACTTCTTCCCTGGCTCCTTCACCTTCCATCCTGTACTTCTCTCCTGCCTCCCTCCCCTTCCACCCTGTACTTCTTCCCTGGCTCCTTCACCTTCCATCCTGTACTTCTCTCCTGCCTCCCTCCCCTTCCACCCTGTACTTCTTCCCTGGCTCCTTCACCTTCCATCCTGTACTTCTCTCCTGCCTCCCTCCCCTTCCACCCTGTACTTCTTCCCTGGCTCCTTCACCTTCCATCCTGTACTTCTCTCCTGCCTCCCTCCCCTTCCACCCTGTACTTCTTCCCTGGCTCCTTCACCTTCCATCCTGTACTTCTCTCCTGCCTCCCTCCCCTTCCACCCTGTACTTCTTCCCTGGCTCCTTCACCTTCCATCCTGTACTTCTCTCCTGCCTCCCTCCCCTTCCACCCTGTACTTCTTCCCTGGCTCCTTCACCTTCCATCCTGTACTTCTCTCCTGCCTCCCTCCCCTTCCACCCTGTACTTCTTCCCTGGCTCCTTCACCTTCCATCCTGTACTTCTCTCCTGCCTCCCTCCCCTTCCACCCTGTACTTCTTCCCTGGCTCCTTCACCTTCCATCCTGTACTTCTCTCCTGCCTCCCTCCCCTTCCACCCTGTACTTCTTCCCTGGCTCCTTCACCTTCCATCCTGTACTTCTCTCCTGCCTCCCTCCCCTTCCACCCTGTACTTCTTCCCTGGCTCCTTCACCTTCCATCCTGTACTTCTCTCCTGCCTCCCTCCCCTTCCACCCTGTACTTCTTCCCTGGCTCCTTCACCTTCCATCCTGTACTTCTCTCCTGCCTCCCTCCCCTTCCACCCTGTACTTCTTCTCTGCCTCCCTCACCTTCCACCCTGTACTTCTTCCCTGGCTCCTTCACCTTCCATCCTGTACTTCTCTCCTGCCTCCCTCACCTTCCACCCTGTACTTCTCTCCTGCCTCCTTTACCTTCCACCCTGTACTTCTCTTCTGCCTCCTTCACCTTCCACCCTGTGCTTCTCTTCTGCCTGCTTTGCCTTTCACTCTGTACTACTTTACTGCCTGCCTTACCCTTCACCCTGTACTACTTTACTGCCTGCCTTACCCTTCACCCTGTACTACTTTGCAAAGTGATTTGGTATTCGTTCATTAACAAAGCTTATAGAACAATTTGACTCCCCCATCTATTTTTTTTTATCCCCTCTTACCTGTTAGGCAGAGTTTTCTGCAGAACACATACATACCGACCTAGCGAATCCAGTGTTGTCTTGCTGCGATCTGCTTCTCCACTGCTGCAGGTCAGGTTTCTTGTCCTCAGCATCCCTTTCTACGTCATTGGGAGCCGACTGACTCTTCCTTGTTTTTGCATCTGGCCCCTAATGACACATGACCAGGTCCGGGCTCCATCGCTGTGCATACATATGTATTATGTGTCGGGAATATGAGGAGCGGGGCAGGCCGAAGTTAAAAAAAAAGTCACCAATGAAAAGGTTTTTTTTTTTAAATGTGGAGGCGGGGTTACAGGGAGGAAACGTCAAACTTTGACTTTGCTGGTGAAAATACGCCTTTCTTTAGTAAATAAACCCAATATGATACTGTGATCAAAAATCATATAGTCGTATGAAAATCACTTCCTGTCCGATTTAGGAAAATCTGGAAGGATAACAAAGGTAAAACGTTGCAGTAGCTCGGTGTTTCATCTGACTTTGTTGTACCTAAGTCTTATAATTTGGGATTTTTGAAATTGTTTTTGTAATGTTTTTAGGAAATGGATCATTTGATAGAAGACCTGACATGCTCAGTTTGTTTTAACATATATGATGACCCTCGACTTCTGAAATGCTCGCATACATTTTGCAAAGACTGCTTGGAAAACATAATCAGGACCTCGGATAGCTATTTTTGGAGACTTTCTGTCGGGGGGCTAAAATGTCCAACTTGCAGAAGGATTACAGATCTCTCAACGGGAGTTCATGGTCTGCCTATAAATTTTGCCCTCAAATCCATTGTCGAAAAATTTCAATCCAACATCCAATCCAGCGCTAGAACCTGTCCAGAGCATCGCGGAAAACAGTTACGTTTGTTTTGTCTCAAAGACCGAAGGTTAATCTGTGATCAGTGTTGTGAAGTAGGACAGCATCAAGACCATCCTACTGAAGATCTAGAAAGAGCCTACAGAAAAGAACGAAAGACAGCTTGTAATCTGTTGGCTACTCTACGTGAGAAGAATTTCACAGGTGTATCCAGCGTCATCAAAACACTGGAAGAACAGCTGGAGGAATGCAAAACCATTATTCAAGAAGATAAGAAGGAGGTGGTCACCTATTTTGATAAAATAATTGACATATTTGAGCAGAAGAAACAACATTTTCTTGCAGCCTTAAATGATCTTGAGGGAAAAATAGTTGATGCCTATGCTCCGAAAATAGAGGCCATGAGGCAAATACAAGATGAAGAACTGGATCTTATATCTTTGAGTAGTACCACACAAGATGAGGAATCTCCCTTTGTATACTTGGACAATATCCACACCATAGAAAAAGGGATGAAAGCTTTGAAAAAGCAGCAGTTATGTTCTATTCACACGGTTCAAATCAGCCCCAGGGTTGGGCAGATACTAAAGGATCAGTGGTCTAAAACCATAACTGATGCTCATAGACAACCCGTTCCAAAATGTGAATTCCGGTGCAGTGCCAAACGTACTTCTAACTTTTCATTCACGTGGCTTTTATTTGTGGCACTTTTCTTTTTTTCTTTAATGGCGTTACTCCTTTTAGCCAATCCTGATATGCTGTTTAGATGTACAGCTTGGTATGAGAACTACTTTGGGAATTCCATGGAACCAGTTCTTAGAAGTTTTGGGATTCGGAGCTTTACAGTCAAGTCAACTTCTCAGATAATGGCAAAATCATTTCTTGACTTTGCTTCCTATTTGTATTCTTTACCCAGCACATACTTTTGAATAATATGGATACTCGCACACAAAAACATATGCTTTGATGATTCCGGAAAAATGATTTTAGAACGAAATTGAGCAGGTTTAACCTTTGCAGTGCTGGGGTATCCCCACTACAAGTAAATTTATAATACTGAAATAAAAAAAAAAAAAAAGCTGTTTCCCCTATATTAAATTATAAAACATTTATTATTACCCAATTTTTTTTTAAATATAAAAGGCGGGGTCACGTCAGGAAAAAAGACACCAAACATGTCAATCTTTATAATTGCGCATGCGCGCGAAACCTCAAAAAACTACAATACCCAAAATTGGCCATAGGTGATGCTTTAAAAGCTTTTACCGCTCATCAGTTTAGTGTTATCAGTGATTGATGGCCCTAAAATGATTGCTCTCACTGCGACGTTTGCGGCGATATGTAACGCGTAGTGCAATTGTCGTTTTCGCGCACTGACGCATATTTACGTTTATATGTGCGTAAACATGGGGGTGGGGGACTTAAACATTTTTGGGTTTTTTAAAAAACTTTTTTTATATGTGACTTATTTTTTTAACTCTTTTTATTTTTTTTTTTTTTACACTTAATGTTATTGCTATCACATAAGGGGATAACAATCCCCCTATATAATAGCAAAGGCACACTGACAGGTCCTCTTTATGGAGACATTAGGGGTCTCTAAGACCTCTGTCACCTGGGGACCCCCGAAGAAGCTGATGAAGCAGATATCTGCTTCATTAGCTTCTTCTCTCTGGCAGTAGGAGCCAGATGACTGACAGGTGAATGCGGAAGTGATGTACTACACATCACTTCCGCATGCACAGCACAGAGGGAGATCAGCAAGGAGGAAGAAGCTGATCTCCCTCCCATTTTACCTTCTGACACCCTCCCGGGCCCAGATGGGGTAGCGGATCCCGGGATTGAAGGTGAGGGTGCAGGAAGGGGAGCGGCGGCGGCACTCCAGGGGGGCACGCAGGCAACACATACATGCGATCGGAGGGCTATAGAGCCGCCGATCATTTGTATGTGAAACAGCCGGTAACGGCTCTTCACATCAGACGGGTTTTTTCTGCCCATGCGCGCGCTAGGGGGCACGCGCTAGCAGAAAAAGAAAGCCGTCTATTTACGGCAACCGGCCAGTGTGAGTTTGCCGTCCGTCTGTTTTTTTGCAACGGGCAGACGGCAAGTGGTTAAGAAAACATTTTCCCAGAGTTCTTCTTTACTGTTCACATTCATAGAGTTCCTCTTTAAATTAACTACCTCCCGGCCAGCCGCTGTGTATACACGGCCTGCTGGGAGCTTCTTGGATGTAACTGGGCGTGTATACACGTCCTGTTACATCCGCCCGCTCGGGCGCAGCACGAGCGAGCGGGAAATCCCCGTAATAAATGTCAGTCAAAGTACTGCAGCGCTGAACACTGAAAAATGGCCTGGCCAGGTAGGGGATCTAAACACCTAGTCTTCAAGCGGTTAAACCTACAATGAGAGAAAAACATAGGCTGCCATTGTAGACCTCCTTGTGAGAATGCTAGTTGCCTGGCCATCCCTAACTTTGAATCACAGATCAAACTAGTCTTAATTGGCCGTAGTCCTATAAAGTACAACTGCCATTAACATGAGCATTAAAAAACTGACTGCAGTACTTTTATTGTATAGCTGTCAGTAAATATAATCTGCTTCTGTTAGAAGTATTGTAAACTGTCAATAGAAGATCTACAAGGATAGTTCTGCAGAGTCAAATCTTGCATCTAAAAAATATCTTTATATTTAGCACTTGCTTTGCTTAGAGTACACCGCTATCTTTAAAGGGCACTTGTGGAATAAATATGTAAATGTGTTACTATTATATTGCTTTTACCTTGCTAAGATATGACTTTAAAATGCTTCATCCACTTTAGCAATTATTCTTTCAATGTTACATAAATATTGCAGATATAATACAGGATTTTCTGGTAATTGCCTGTTTTTTTTACATGTTTAGATCTGGCACAGGCCAATGTGAAAAAGAGATAAAATGGGACACAGTCAGGGCCACCCACTACTTATCCCCACACTTTATACTGTTTTATGTTGCATTGAACTCTACAAAATGCACTCTGGCTCTATACACTTGAAAATGACAGTTTTACTGAACCCAGTGCTAAACACCTCAGTAGGAACATGCTGCATGCAGCTGATTTAACATGTACACCACAAAGTAGCCTGGAGCAAATGTACACCATGATAGTGTTGCTTATGAGCTCTATGAACCCAAGGCCAAAATCTCACATTTGTGGTAAGGTAGCCCATTCCTTTTCAATGGGCAGCCAATGCATTTCAATTGACATGTTAACACATCTGCACTTTTTTTTTCTTTTAATGAAACACACCACAAAGCACAGATAGTTTCTTTCCATTGTGGTGCGCTAAAAGGCACTTTCATGCACTACAGTATTGCACAGATATGAATCCAGCCTAGGAACAACTAGTAAGAGTGTCGCTCTAGTGCAGCGAGATGTAGTTGGCACTAAGCTGCAGAGCAGCATAGTTACACCTGCATGCTTTTTCAGTTGATGCCCAGATTCTTGGGCTGGGCATGTCGGCTGGTCAACCCATTATTGCTATTGCATTATACCTGTTTGCCTGAAGCACAAAACCTATGCATTGAATCAAAAAGCTGGATACAGACAAGAGTGGATTACTAAGATTGCAGCTGCTATGGACACTGACACTGCAGTCCCCATTCACTGGTATAGAGCACTAAAAGTAGGTGCCAATGAGGAGCAATAGGATGTAAGCGGTGCAACAGAACTCTACAGACCTACCAATTCTAAACGAAATATGTATTATTATATTATTATACAGGATTTATATAGCGCCAATAGTTTGCACAGCGCTTTACAATATAAGGAAGACATTACAGTCACAATACAATTTAAGACAAGATGGTAAGGAGGGCCCTGCCCGTGAGGGCTTACAATCTAAAAGGGAGGGGCAAGTGATACATGAGGATGTAGCTGTGCGGGGGTGATATGTAGAACAAAAGGGCATTATTTTATTTGTACGTTTGAAGGAAGTTTAACAGTTTCAGGTCAGCTCATTTTTGGGAGAAATTTTGCATATATGTGTGAAATAAAAAACTGTGTCAAGGCAGACCTTGTGAACATGCACATTTCCTGGCAGTCTCTGACTTCAATCATTCTGGAATGTCCAATCTGTAACAAGTGTGCAGCAAATAAATCAGCTTTTGGTTTGTAAAGGTTAGTAACTTTGAAAGTATAGAAACTATTGCATGAAGGATGGGCAGCTGGTATGTTCAGAAGCTCAGCAACGGCACCTTACATTGTCTTTCTGCAGGTGTTCCTATTAATGGTTTTTCATACACAAGCACACACATCATGCACAAGAGGTCTCTATGACTAAGATCAGGTTTGAATGGAAAATGTCAGAGGGGGCGGACCTCTGTCACTGACAAACTTTCAATAAAGTGATTCAGCGTGGAATGGATCGCGGCCAGATTTTTCCTTTACTATAAATCTGTTTGGTTGGAGCAAGGACCCACTCCTGCCGGTAAGCACCCAGCAAGCTCTTTCCCATGCTATAGCCAAAGAGCAGCAATATTTTATTTCTATGCTTTGATTACCAGAAAAAAAAATCTGTTTTCTGCAGTTCATTAAAGAACACAGGGCTCAGTAAAGGTGCCCATTACATCTATCGATTTTCACTCGGAAATCGTCCACAGATGGTCTTTCGAACGACAATCGATCAGTTGATGGGAACCCAATGTTTTTGGGGGTTTTTTTACTATACTTCTGGCCGAATTTCCTCGATAGGTCAGGCTGGAAAACTTTTTTCGAATCGAAATGACATCGATGGATTAGTGGCGTTTTCCTATGAAAAAATTGTAACATGAACACTGCAGATGCGCAAACGAAAATCCGTTCTGCCAATCAACGAAATTCGGTGAGTTAGTATTGCTAACGAATGATTATCAAAACCAAATTGGTCTGTACATGATGTGCTGTTTGAGCTAGAATTGAACGTGGGTTCTTGGCAGCAACGAAAATTCCCTATCAAAAATCTATAGGTGTATGACCAGCTTTAGTCTTAAGGTGGCCATACACTCTACAACCATCGCAAGACCTTAGTCTTGGTTGTACAGGGATTAAAAAAACGTACGATCTGCCTATCTTGGACAGGCAGATCGCACTCTCGATCATCGCAAGCCCGCCCCCCTGAGGGGCGGGCTTCCGATGACCGCAATGCTGAACGGGCAGTGTGCGCGTGCGCACACCGGCCCGTTCGGCATTTGTCTTCCAAGCACCGTTCTAACCAGCCGAGAATCGTACGATTCCCGGCTGGTTTTCGAACATGCTGGTTCGACGGAAGACGTGCGACCGTACAGTAGAAACGGTCGCACGTCTCCGTTCACACTGCTCGATTCTCGTACGATCGCGGGATTTCCCGCGATTCTCGTACGAGAATCGAGCAGTGTATGGGCACCTTTAGACAATTGGGTTATATTGCCAACCACAGGAGGATTTTGACACAAGCAAAAAAAATAAATTGGTCATCCAGGTATAATCCCTCCCACTCCCATCATGCTTCAGTTGTGTAGAAAAGCAGTATCAGGAGTAGATCTCAAACACGGGTCCTGTGTCCTGTAATGCACTCCAAGAAATGGATTTTACAGCAAGGCAAAAACCTAGGGGTTAATCACAAAGGAGCCTTAGACTCTAAGGATATAGCCTTAGACTCGACTAATTCTTCCGTTCACTTCGGCCGCCAGAACTGAAAGTCTGCTGTACGGGCTTTACCCTATAGTCCGAACAGTAGCCGAAGTGCTCCGCCGAGGGGAGCAGGGAGAAAAGTGCCAAAGCAAACCATTCTCCATGCAAAATATAAACAAATAGTAAAAAAACAAACAAACATGGGGTCCCCCTATAATTCCCAATTATACCCTATTACAGACACTGGCCTAACAGGAAAGGGGGGGGGGTTACTCAAGCAAAAAAAAATAGTTTTTTTTCATTTTGGATTAGTTAAGGGAGGGTTATAACCCCTGTCAAGTGTTTTTTCCCCCTCCCATCTGTGTTACATTTCCCTTCACTTCTTGTCCCATAGCCACAACAGGAAGTGAGAGGAAATGCCTTCCAAGTGAATAAATCCCTGGTTGTCATCAGAAATAGTGTCTCCGTTGGTTTATTTGACTTATTAATCAAGGACAGAAAGAGTGCATGCCCCAGGCACTTAGATAAGTGTTAATAATGCCCGCCCACTGTATAACTTTCACGAGCGTTAGGGCATCTTACTGAGGGAAAACTACGTCATCAGTAGCCAGAAGGGAGTAGGAGGAGGAAAATAACCAGTAACAGTTTTTCCCAGTAAGTCTGAGCAGAAATAGAGGAGAGCTCCCCCATGTGGCCAACTTGTGAAGTACATAAATTATAACAAGCACAGGTCACCACAGAAACACCTCTGCGGCCCTGTATTATTTAGGCCCCTTGTGACTGGAGGAACCAAAAACATCAGTGACACCAATGTAAAGCTCAAATGTCACAAGTTTCTGAAAATAGCCAGTAGTGAAGGAAGACATTTTTTTTTTTATACAGTGCCCTGCTAATGACAGTCTGTGCTGACATTTCTGCCTCAGACAGATTCAGACACAAGAGGGAAGAATCCCCAACGCTGCATTATTCTGTCACATCCACTCATGAAGGTGAGTCTCCAGAGACGCGGTCAGGTGCCTTAAATCTGGACCGACAGATCCATAAGGAACATATAGGGCTAACCTGCATAGTGGAGTCCGTGAGCATTGCAACACAGATGTTAGTCACTGCCAACGGCAGTCCTGACGCAGAGGAAACACCTGAATACATAATGAACTGGGAACCTGCATTGCTTGTCCAGATGAAGAGTTTCCAGGGTTTCCATATCCAGTCCTGAATTCACCAGTAGCTGTAGAAACTTCCAGAAATTCAGGGCCTTCGCAGAGTGATCACCAGTGTAAAACTAGGAAAAACCTGCACTTTTTAGCTAACTGGATAAATTATCCAGGAGTTTAATTATCTGGCATGAATCTACCAGCGTAATTCACTGTGTGGTAAAACTATCCAGGATTTCTTATATCCGGTGTGAATCTACCAGAAGTTGTTGATAGTCGCAATCTTCCAAACAGCAGCGAATAGAAGACTGTTCATGGTGGTTGTGGGTGGGGTTATCCTGTGCTGGCTATTGGCTTTTGTTGCCAGTGTCCATTTCTCCTTTAGGTGGCAGTACAACATGACAGTAAGAATTCCTGTGTCCCTCAATTGACAATAAAAAGAAGTGCAACCTTGTGAGGGTGGAAAAGAGAATACCATGATAAGTTTAAGTGGCTTTTGAAATGCGAACAAAACCATATTAAAATCTCAGAGTCATAGTCAGTCACACAGAGGGAGCTACATGAGAAACACCCTGTAAGTATTAACCAATAAATGAGAGGCTAGCGGTCTTTGGAATAAGATTGCCAAGATTTGTCCATTAGGGCCAAATTCTGATCACCTGCTTGCCAAAATGTACGAAAATGTTAATTTTTAATACTTTGCAGAGAATCCTTTGCAGGCGATGACTGCTTGAAGTCTGGAATTGTAATGCTCTGGACTACAAATCCCAGAGACGTCAAGCTTATCCCAAGGATGAGCCCAGCTGTAAAGCTTGGCAAAACTTTAATTTCTATTTGTTGTCTGTTCTTGCAGTAAACTTCAAGGAAACTGACTCAGTAGCATTAAAAGTACTTTACTTGGCGAAAATGCTGCGTGTACAAACTTAGTTACAGGAAAAGCAAACAAATACATCAACAAGACAGGCTGCTACAAACATTCACATGCACCCACTACACTATCTTCTAGTACATGTATAATTTCACAGGAGGGGAAACACTGAAAATGTACTTAGCTTAGGCTGCAGACTCCAATAAATTCCGTGATGAGCAGTACTTGGCCTAGGAAGAATGGCTTCTCGTTGCAGTATCCTGGTCTTGGTCCTCTCGTCTTGTGAAGCGCCCTCGTACTGTCCCCTCCTGTGAAGCCCTGGTCTTGTGAAGTGCTGGGCTGGTGAACTCCTCCGTTACCTTTCAGCTACTGGCTTTTTATTGAGAGAAACTGGCCTAAAACAATGGAAGCTACGCCCCTTTCACCTTTAGGAAAATGCAATACAGTTTCCCACCTCTAGGTGGCAGCGTTGTACCATAAATTGCCCTCAGTAGTCAAGATTTGATTTGAGTCTTGGCCAGGCTAGGCGTGACTATTCATGATCACCATCCCATTGTGATACAAATCAATACAGGATAAGCTACCCTATTGTGTAAAACCAGTTTGGGCTGTATTGTTGGCCATTTCCATTGTATGAACCGAGTTTCTATCAACAAACAAACAAAACCTCCGTCTCTCTTGCAAATTTATGTGTGTCTGAAAAAGTCCACTAAGATATATCGCAACACAGGAATGCATGGACATCACCAAACGTTGGGTTTCCCTCCTTTGTGATGCTTTGCCAGGCCTTTACTGCAGCTGTCTTCAGTTGTTGTTTGCTCGTTGGTCTTTCTGCCTTAGACATGTAAGCTGCGGAAACATTTGGTTTGTTTTGTGCGGTTTGGATATTTAGGGGTCTATTCACGAAGCTGCTGAAGGATCTGGCCGTAGCTTCGGCCCCAGGACCCCTTCGGTTCATTAGAACTGAAGGGGTGCTGTACGGGCTATCCACAATAGCCCGTACAGCTCCCGATCGTGGCCGAACGCTTTAGGAAACTATTGGGCGGAGCTAGCTGTCACTATAGCTCCGCACAATCGTTTTCTATTTACTTTTTTCACTCTTTTTCTGTTCTGCTCGGTCCCTCTGAGAACCGAGCAGAACAGCTGAGCCGAATGCCGCTCAGCGGCATTCGGCTATTCACTCACTGCTGTTCTGCATCTTTAAGAATTACCCGAACAGCAGTGAGTAGCCTGCCGGCCGAGTCGCACTCCTTCTGCACTTCAGGTCGGCCGAACATGCTGAGCATGTTCGGCCGACCCAAAGCCACTCGAAGCAAGCCGATGTACGGCTGATTTCAGCCGTACCAGCCTGAAGTGAATAGCTGAACAGTGTTCGGCTCACTTCACTTCAGATCGGTCATTCACTCGGCTGCCCTCGGCAGCTTAGGGAATAGACCCCTTAGTTATTTTAGAATTCGGATCCGAAAATTAAATGTTTCGGACGAAATCCGAATTTTCAATAATTTCGGATGAGTTTACGAATATTCGTTGCGAATACCACAGAAAACCATATACAGATATTAATACTAAAGCTGAATCTTCTAGACCCAAATGCCATTCTGGTCTGGGAGACTCAGCTTTAGTAATATATGTATATGGCTCCCTGGAATCTTGCATCTTGCTTGATTTAAAAAAAAAAACATCTACAAAGTTCATTGTTTTGTTTGTTCTTTTCCAGTATGCTGTGTGAATAGGAACACATAACGGACATATAGAGGGGTTTCCTCACATTGGACTGCAAAAGTGCAAATACACTTTAAGCCCAGGTTCTTTACCTAAATAAATTCAAGTCATAGTTAAATAAACAGCCAAAATAAGAAAACTTGTGTCAGTGTCCAATTATTTCCAGACAACTAAATCAGTTGGAGCTTCAGAATGTTAATTAGGAGACGAGATACTGCCAGCATCCAAGTCCTTTGCACCAAAAAGGTGTCTAGGACTCCAGGCTCTTCAGGCTGGCATCTGATGCTAGGATCTTCTACAACAGAGGGAAGAAAGATTATTTCATCAGAACTAAAGTAATGATGCACCACGCCAGAGATTATCTGGTCTTTGGTGTCAGGAAAGTCAGTTTGCCCAGAGAGTGAATAGATTTGTTCCACAATGGCAGGATATTGTAGTATAAGAGTGCAGAGAGAAACTAAGCAAATCAAACTGCTTTGAAGGAGTCTACCATCAATCCCAGAACTCCCAGGCAGAATCACACAGTTGGCAAGCTGCTACACTGAAAAGTCTGAGTCTGGGAGTAGAAAGTCAGAGGTTTTGCCACTTCCTGCACCAGGCATTTCAGATGCAAGCAGTAGCAGTTGGGGGTAGGGTGTCTTCATGTGAATAGTGTCAAGAGTGTAGAAATGAAAGGGATGTTTCTTAACTGATAAGAGGGAGACAATACTCATAGAAATACATGGATTAGACACTTCTTACTTGCAGGTTCCACAGCGTAGCAGTGTTCTTCCACATGCATACAGACAGGATATCCATAAGGGACTTATGACCAGTCAGCCAGTTTGAAACAGTAAGGTGACAGCCTGTCAGTAAGAATAGCGCTATATTCTATTGGAATTTGGCAGGTTTTCAGGATTTAGGGTCAACTGGTAAAAGTCTATCATCTTCCCCATAGACCCTTTAGCAGCCCTGTTGCCTGACACGGCCGTTCATATTCCGGTGGTGGATTGATTTACCTATTTGGGTATCTGAATCTCTAGAGACCCCCCAGAATTCATAGAGCGAAATGTATTGCCTGTGCTTACCAATGTTCGCAGGCAAAAGGAGGTGTAGTGTAGATTGCCTTGATCCGTGGTGGGAAGGATAAATCTGGTGAGGATGCCACAGTTACTGTATGTACTTCATAATGCTCCTTACTGGCTTCCGTCCCATATTTTTCATAGAATCAGTACTATGATTAGAGAACTAATATGGTGCAACAAACCTCCTCGAATCAAGCTAGAAACTTTGTAACATTCCAAGGAATAGGGAGTTTGTTGTCGGTCCCCAACCCATGGTTGTACTTTTTGGGGTCCCAAATACAGTATTTTGTTTGGATAGGCGGAGAAGGGATATAGGTCTCTGACTATTGATGTGCTGCAAAGTTTGTTTGGTGGACTTGACCCCTTTCTCCTGTTAGAAACAGATAGATATGTTAGGGCCCCTACACATATGTCTACAGTTACACTCATGGGGCAGGTGTGGGACTCGGTTAAGTCTCTTTTAGGGATTACAGGGTGTGACGACATGGTGATGAGTTTATAAGTTAAATGTGTATCGGTGTTGAGTTATGTTTGAGTGCGTTATGCTGTGTGACCTGGTTATGGAAAGACTATCAGCACCATCCCTCGTTATCTCCCATTGTTCTCTGAGGGAGCTCAGAACAATGACATTCTGGCCAGGCCTCTGCTATGGCTGTCTGGAGCTATTTAGCAGGTGGACACCTGTGGTGTTGTGAAGACAGGATTTCTGGGGAGAGGAAGGGGGATGTGATGGGATTATATTCTGATCTGATCACTTTCTGTATAAATGTTTGTGCAGTTTCTCAATAAACGAGAGTTTGTTTCACCTACACTCGAGCCTTGGCTAGTGACCGGGGAAACTTACCCACCGTGACCTGGGCTCCTGGAGGGGGCTGGCGGCCAGCCTCCTCCCCAGTGACTATGGACCTAAGATTTTGGAGACCCCCCTTTGTTGGATTGAACCGGATGTCCGGGGCCCATGGGCGGCTGGTGCGGTGGAACCTGGCCCTACAGCCATTCAATTTCACAATCCCTGCTCTGGAAACACAATGTTAAGGAGAATGGACTATCTCGGCAAACGGAACTGGAAGGGTGACTGTAAAATCATGGACATCCCCAAGTGGACCCGTAGGAGGGTCTCACCGGGTCTGCCATCTTTTAACTTGGGGGAGCTATGTGACGACATGGTGATGAGTTTATAAGTTAAATGTGTATTGGTGTTGAGTTATGTTTGAGTGCATTATGCTGTGTGACCTGGTTATGGAAAGACTATCAGCACCATCCCTCGTTATCTCCCATTGTTCTCTGAGGGAGCTCAGAACAATGACATTCTGGCCAGGCCCCCTGCTATGGCTGTCTGGAGCTATTTAGCAGGTGGACACCTGTGGTGTTGTGAAGACAGGATTTCTGGGGAGGGGAAGGGGGATGT